ACTTCAAGCTCATATGATTCTAGCCTTTTTATCTGCAAGACTAACTCTGGTATTACTTTTTTCTTACTTTATGTTGATGATATGACAATCACTGGCAATGATCTTGCAGGTATCTCTACATTCACAAAAATTTCTCAGTCATCACTTTGATATGAAGGATCTTGGGAGCCTCCACTATTTCCTAGGCTTGGAGATTCTCTCTGATTCGGATGGCTATTATCTCTCCCAGGCCAACTATTCGTCTGACATTCTTACTCGTGCTGGTATCACTGATTGCAAGACAGCTCTTACTCCACTTGAGACTAATGTTAAACTCACTCCTGTAGATGGTACACTCCTCAGTGATGCCACATTGTATCAACAATTGGTTGGCAGTTTGGTATATTTCACTGTTACTCGACCTGACATCACCTATGTTGTGCATCTTATCAGTCAGTCAGTTCATTTATGCCCCTCGATCTACTCATTATACTGTTGTAGTACGCATTCTTTGATACATTAAAGGGACTATGTTTCATAGCCTTCACTTTTCTACTCATTCTTCACTTGAGCTACGCGCCTACTTTGATGCTGATTGGGCAGGTGATCCAACTGACCGGCATTCTACTACTGGCTTCTGCTTCTTTCTTGGTAACTCTCTCATTTCTTGGTGCAGCAAAAAGTAATCTGTCGTTTCCAGGTCTAGTATAGAAGCTGAATATCGTGCCCTTGCTGATTCCATACAAGAACTTATTTGGCTTTGATGGCTCCTAACAGATATGGGTGTTTCTCATTCTAATGGCACTATTCTCTATTGTGATAATCAGAGTGCTATTTACATTGCTCATAATGATGTCTTTCACGAACGCAGCAAACATATTGAAATTGATTGTCATAATGTGCGTCAACAAGTCACTCGGGGAATCGTATGCCTTCTTCTATAACTTCCGCTGATCAAACCGCTGACATCCTTACCAAAGCTTATCCGCCAGGCAGATTTCGGGAATTAATTTCCAAACTCAAATTGGTTTTTGCTTTACCACCTTGAGTTTGAGGGGGGATGTTAATATAAAGATTCTGTGTATCTTGTGTATCTTATTATAACCGTTATATACTGATTCTTACCGTGATTATATCTTAATCACATTTGTATAGCCGTTGCACAATATCCTATAAATAGGCTCCTTTGTACATGTTCCAAACATACTTCAATATGCAGAACATACATTGTATATCTCTTGTCTATCTCTCTCTGTCTCTTTCTTATATTCAACAAGTTCAACTAATGGGGTTTGCTCCAATATAAGATGCTGTATTTTAACTGCACAGTTAGAGGCTTCTTTGACCGCAGCACAATATTGGACTTCAGTCCATGCAGTTATTCTTTCCTGGTAGAAGAATCGGCTTATAACTTCTCTAAAGCCGATCTCAAGGATCTACAAAACAGAAGTGTTGTTCCCACGGTGCTGGACTGGGCAGTTGGTAATCAAACATGTGAAGTTGTTAAAAGGAACTCATCGAATTATGCATGTGGAGAGAAAATCGTCTGCAATGAGTCCTATAATGGTCCAGGGTATCGCTGTAACTGTCCTCGAGGTTACCAAGGAAACCCATATTTGCCTTTGCCCAATGGTTGCCAAGGTATTTTTTACATTAATTTCAAGTAAAACTTTTTTTCTTTTTGGTAAGGTCATGCTTAATTATTAGTTTGATCATTTTCAGATATTGATGAATGTAACTCAACCCTCAATGATTGCATCAATAGTTGTCATAACATTCCGGGCAGTTATGAGTGTTCGTACCCAAAGTGGTACCAAGGGGATGGCAAAAGCGATGGAGAGGGTTGCACTCTAGACCCATTATTATTGACCAAGGTCTCGCTTGGTAAGTCTATATATTTTTACACAACAATAATTGCTTCCAACCTTATCAAAAGATAAATGCAACACCTGTCTTTTTTGTAATTTTGAAAAAGGGTGAATTGAAAAGGAAAAAGAAAAAGTTATATTTCTTATGTGTGTGTATATTTCTTCTTCAGAAAAGTAAAAACATTATGTAATTTGGTACAGAGGAATTGAGCTGCATTCACTAAAACATAGTTTATTCTTTGGTCAAATTTAGGTATCAGCATTGGCTTCGTAGTATTATTAATTGGAGGCACCTGGTTGTACTGGGGATTCAATAAAAGAAAGCTCGTCATGCTCAAAGCATTCACTAAAACATAGTTTATTCTTTGGTCAAATGTAGGTATCAGCATTGGCTTCGCAGTATTATTAATTAGAGGCACCTGGTTGTATTGGGGATTCAAGAAAAGAAAGCTCGTCATGCTTAAAGAAAAGTTCTTTCGGCAAAATGGTGGTTTTTTGCTACAACAACTCCATGAAAGGCAAATCTCGGCCAATACCACAAGAATCTTCACAACAAAGGAGCTTGAGGATGCCACCAACAACTATGATGGAAGTAGGATAGTCGGTCAAGAAGGTTTTGGTATGGTTTACAGAGGAATTTTTCAAGACAACTGGACAGTTGCCATAAAGAAGTCCAAAATGGTGGATTGAACTCAGATTGACCAATTCATAAATGAGGAGGTTGTACTCTCTCAAATTAATCATAGGAATGTGGTGAAGCTCTTGGGTTATTCTCTAGAGACAGAATTCCCATTATTGGTATATGAATTCATTACCAAACACTCTCTATCACCACATACATAGCAATGAAAAGACCTCGGTCATGTTCCTGAAAACCCGTCTAAGGATTGAGCAAAGGTTGAGTAGGCACTCCGAAAAGACAATTGAAAGTGCTTTTCAATCCAAGCTCAATGTTAGTTCCAAAAATCAAGAAAAATACCCATCAAGTTTTGATCGATTCAAAGGTGAATCTTTTAGAGGTGGAAGACACGGAAGAGGAAGAGGAAGAAATAATTTAGAGAGAAATGGAAATATAGAGTCCACTTAACAAAATTGTGGAATTTGCAAGAGAAGTACCCATGTTGACAAAGATTGTTGGTTTCGGGGAAAACCTCAATGTTTCAATTGTAAGAAATTTGGACATGTTCAAAAAGATTGCTGATTGAAAACAAATCAGCAAGCTAATTTTTCTGAAGAGCAAGAAGGTGAAGCAAACATGTTTTATGCTTGTCACACGACATCGGAACAAAATGATGATGTGTGGTTTCTTGATAGTGGATGTAGCAACCACATGACCGGAGATAAAAACATATTCTTGGAGATTGATTTTTCATCAAATTCTCAAGTGAGGGCTAAAACACCATTGGAGCTTGTTCATACCGATGTGTGTGGACCGATGACAACACCAACTCATGCGGGTAACAAGTATTTTATTATTTTCGTTGATGATTTTTCAAGAATGACGTGGATTTATTTCATGAGACAAAAATCAAATGTGTTCTCTATTTTCAAAAAAATTCAAAAGCTTGTTGAAAGGCAAAGTGACCATCTTATCAAAGTGTTAAGAAGTGATAGAGGTGGAGAGTACAACTCTAATGAGTTGGAAAAGTTTTGTGAAGATATTGGCTTGGAGCAGAGACAATTAACGGTTGGGTACACTCCACAACAAAATGGAGTGGTAGAAAAAAAAAATAACAATTATTGAGATGGGAAAATCAATGCTTCATGAGAAGGGGCTACCTAAATCATTTTGGGGTGAAGCCGTGTATACGGCTGTTTACTTGATGAATAGGAGTTCAACAAAAGCGGTGGAGAATAAAACTTCATTTGAAGCATGGAGTGGAAGGAAGCCATCATTAAACCACTTGAAAGTTTTTGGGTGTATTTGTTTTGCTTATGTTCCAAGAGAAGTGAGGCACAAACTGGATGAAGCTAATGAAAAATGCATCTTTGTGGGTTATAGCTCAAAATCAAAGGGCTATAGACTCTTTAATTTGAAAAAGAATAAATTGATTATTTGTAGAGATGTTCTCTTTAATGAGAAGGCTGCTTGGGATTGGAAAGAGAAGAAAGTTCAAGATCAAATCTCTATTTTCAATGAAGAATTAGGAAATCAAAAAAATGAAAATGAAGATTTTCTTGAAGTTCCACAAGAAATGTCTCCAGTATCTAGCTTACAATCAATCCCAACTTCTCCATCAAACTCAAATTCTTCATTTCCAAGTTCAACTCCAAGAAGAATTAAAAGTCTTAGTGATGTGTATGCAAGTTGCAATTTTTGTGTTGTTGAACCGAAGAACTTTGAAGAAGCAATTAAACAAGAGGCATGGAAGAAAGTTATGTGAAATTTATGTGATTGAGAAGAACAAGACTTGGGAGTTAATAGAGAAGCCAGAAGACAAATATATGATTGGTGTGAAATGGATTTTTAAAACAAAATTCAATCCGAATGGCTCCATTCAAAAGAACAAAGTAAGACTTGTAGCAAAAGGGTATTCACAACAGCCAGGAATTGATTTTCAAGAAACTTTTTCACCCGTGGCTCGTCTTGACACAATTAGAGCACTCATTGCCTTAGCGGCTCAAAATGGTTGGTCCTTGTATCAATTTGATGTAAAATCAGCCTTCTTGAATGGTGTTTTGAAAGAGGATGTCTATGTAGAACAACCTCAAGGCTTTGTTGCAAAAGGAGAAGAAGAGAAAGTTTACAAATTAAAGAAGACTTTGTGTAGCCTAAAACAAGCACCCCGGGCATGCTATAGTGAGATTGATTCTTACTTTATCGAAAAAGGCTTTCAAAGGAGCAAAAGTGAGCTAACCTTGTACTACAAGACACAAGGTAAAACTGTGATTCTTATTGTTTCTCTTTATGTTGATGATTTGGTATTTACCGGTAGTGATGGAAAAATGATTGATGATTTTAAAAGAGAGATGATGAAAAAATATGAAATGAGTGATTTGGGTTTGTTGCATTACTTCTTCGGCATTGAAATTTATCAAAAAGAATAAGGAGTTTTTATTTGTCAAAAGAAGTATGCAAAAACTCTTCTTGAAAAATTCAAAATGTTGAATTGCAAATCCGTTTGCACTCCCTTGGTTGTGAATGAAAAATTGATGAAAGAAGATGGAAGTAAAGAAGCAGATGCATCTCTCTATAGAAGCTTGGTTGGAAGTCTATTATATTTGACATCTGCAAGAGCCAACATCATGTATGCTACAAGCTTATTATCTCGGTTTATGCACAATCCAAGCCAAATTCATGTTGGGGCTGCAAAGAGGGTGTTGAGATATATACAAGGTACACTTGATTTTGGCATCTTGTATGAGAAAAATGTTGATGCAAAGTTGTTTGGTTTTTGTGATAGTGATTGGGCCGGATGTGTTGATGATATGAGAAGTACTTCTGGTTGTGCATTCTCTCTTGGTTCGGGTGTATTTTCATGGGCATCTAAAAAGCAAGAAACGGTGGCGCAATCTTCTGCTGAGGCTAAGGGTAAATCTGTACAACAGTGTACTTATAATTGCCATCATATTGCTTTCAAATAAGGGTAATTTTTAAATAAAAATTGTTAACTATTATTTGATATTAATATATTAATATTAAACTATCACTTTTAATTTTTATTTCCTGCTTCAAATTATATTGAACGGGTCCTGGCTGCTTGGACAGTCTGGCTTTGGCTTGCTGGTGTTGCTGTTAATGGTATCACCACTAGCAACAAAGACAGCAGCGAAATTTTAGGAAGGCTCATTGCTTATCTCATAATGTACTTCCTCTGGTTTAATGTAGTACAATATATATATACCCCCTTATTTATTGTTTCAAGTATCTGACTTCTGTTTAATTTGTGGAAATTATTGTCGTAATTTGCCAAGTAAAAAACACATGCAGGTGGCACAATGAAACAAAGACCATGGAAGAGTGCTTTGGAAATTACATAGTTGTCTTCCCTCTCATAGAGTCGAATGTCGATGGCATCAGGTAAATTGTTGGATAGCTACAGAAATAAAAGAGCAAAGAAGAACATTTATTAGGGAGTAAAAGTCAAAGAGAAAACTCACAAGATTAACTAGGTCGGTTTTGCGAGCATTGTTCAACCTATGTCCGTTTTGCAAGCATTGATTAATATTCCAAGATTAGGCAAATATGTTTACCGCACATATCACATTCCACGTAAGTTTTAATTTAGTGCAAATAAGTTCATACAAATTTAAACTCTAAGTTGATGTGATGAGTCTTTGGAATAATGGTATCAAAGACTCCAAATGCTATCTTTCCGTGTTCTCATCTCCAACAATGGTATCAAAACAAGCCAATTGATAATACTTTTAAAATTTTGAGTTATACTAGTTTTTTAATACTTTCATTTCAAAAGATTGCGAAGGACAAAATATAAATAAAGAAAAATATAGTATGTGCAATAATGCTTTTAAAATTTTGAGTTAGACTAGTTTTTTTAATACTTTCCAAACTTTATATTTCAAAAGATTGCAAAGGATAAAGTATAAATAAAGAAAAATATAGCATGATCTCGAATTTCACCACATCACCATCCTTTCAAGGCAACTTCCTTTGCATAACAATAGAAGTCCTTCCAAAGACTTTTTGGGTGAGTCAATGCTCTCTTTCCGTGTTCTCATCTCCAATAATGGTATCAAAACAAGCTAATTGATAATGTTTATAAAATTTTGAGTTAGATTAGTTTTTTAAAGGACAAAATATAAATAAAGAAAAATATAGCATGTGCTCGAATTTCTAAGCCTAGATGGATCTCATCTTAATACATTAAATGCATTAAAAAATTTCGACTCAAAATTTTTTATCGTTTCATACGGTCTAATAATAATAATAATAATAAAATATATTTTTATCAAATAGTAAGTTAGTAACTCTTTTAATCAGGTTACCTTTGTTCTTTTATATACATATATGATAAAAAGAAAGATCAATCTGTTCTTATATATACATATTTGATAAAATAGCATGTGCTCGAATTTCTAAGTCTGGACAGGTTTCACTTTAAGTCGTTCAATGCATTAGAAATTCTAGAGTCAACATTTTTAGTGATTTCTTATGAAGCACGGACACTGACACAAGACACGGGTAGGACACGACACGAATACAGCGATATGGCAAATTTTAAAAAAATAGGACATAGACACGGTGGGATACACCTATAAAATAATATATATATATATATATATATATATATATATATATATATATATAATTATATATTCAAAATATAACTACTAGAACATTGCACATTCATTTTTTTAATAACAAACAGGTATATATAACTACAAAATTGTAAATAAAATAACAACAAATAACATGACAAATTTCAATAATTTCAACTTTGTTATAAGAAAAACATAGACAGACAAAATAGAAAATAAATGAAAAATAAAGTTGATCCAAATTCCAAACGAAAATGTGCAGAAGAGATATAGTTATAATGGGCTAAATATGTGCATGAATAAACATATATACTTTCAGTCTTTCACAAAGTCTTGTTCATGTAACTTAAAAAAAAAAAAAAAAAAAAAAAAAAAAAAAATTATTATTTTTTTAATGGACAGAGATAATTAAAGAAGAGGATAGACTGAGAGAGGAAGTGAGAGAAAATAAATTTACTGTGTAGTACTTTTGTCTGTAATTGTTATTTTATTTTTTCAAAATTTTACTTCTAAACTTCTAAAAAATTACATTATGTAACCTATTTATTTTAAAAAAAAATTACAAAATATATCCTGCCGTGTCCGAGACGTATCCCCCGCGTGTCCGAGCCGTGTCCAATAAAAAATAATTTATGGACACTTCACAGAAGTGTTGGACACGTGTCCTAGCCTCGGACACGCGTATCCGTGTCTGAAAAGTATCCGACACCGGTACGAGACCCCTACGAGGAATGTCTGTACTTCATAGGTGATTTCATACCATCTAAAAATAATTATTTAAAAATAAATAATTAATAAATAAAATATATGTCTATCAAATAGATAATCAAGTTACCTTTGTTCTTATATATATATATATATGCTAAAAAGATAGATGAAATATAGAGTAAAACAATATTAGTCCTTCCCTCTAAACTGAGGAAAGACAGAGCTAGATCTCATTATTCTTAATTACTTGACCCAGAGAGAGAAAAAAGCCTCATGGCTTTGCAAAGGAATCATCTGCATATGGTGTTGCTATGGTTCTTAGCAGCTGTAGTACTAGCAGCACCAACAGAAGCATCCCAAACAATTACATCCGATTGTGAAGAATATTGTGGGAATGTACGCATTCCACACCCTTTTGGCACAAGCAAGGGCTGTTACTTGAATGAACAAAATTTCTTTTAACTTGTAACCACAACTTCACCCCTCCCAAACCACAGTTACTAGACTCTACCCTCGAAGTCCTAAACATATCCATTGATGCTCATGAATTGCGCATCCTTACTTTTATTGCCCATACTTGTTATGACTCCCAGGGCAACAGATCAATCAGTACTACTTCCATCATTCGTTTACCATTTTTCCCCTTTTCCTATACCCGAAACAAGTTTACTGCTGTTGGTTGTGACGCCTTTGCAGAGGCCGTAGCTATCCAAGGAGACGACCTTATAATGACTGGATGCTTGTCATTCTGTGCTGGTGCAAATAGTTCAAGTAATGGGGTTTGCTCCGGTATAGGATGCTGCCAAAGCCTCATCCTGAAAGGCTTATATAACCACCGCAGGATATGGCTTATAACTTCTCTACAGCCGATCTCAAGGATCTGCAAAACAGAAGTGTTGTTCCCACTGTGCTGGACTGGGCAGTTGGTAATCTAACATGCGAAGAAGCTCAAAAGGACTCATCCAATTATGCATGTCCAAAGGAAAGTGTCTGCAACGAGTCCAGTAATGGTCCAGGGTATCGCTGCAACTGCCCTCAAGGTTACAAAGGAAACCCATATTTGCCTTTTCCCAATGGTTGCCAAGGTATTTTTGACAAGTAAAAACTTTTTTCTTATGTTGCTCAAAAGTTCTTTTGTTATGGTCATGCTTAATTATCATTTTCAGATATTGATGAATGTAAGGATTCAACCTTGAATGACTGCACCAATAGTTGTCATAACACTCTCGGCAGTTATAAGTGCTCGTGTCCAAAGTGGTATAAAGGGGACGGCAAAAGAGATGGACAGGGTTGCACTCTAGAACCGTTGCTATTGATAAAGGTCTCAGTTGGTAAGTCCATATACTTCTAGGCTCAACAACGTTTTGATTTGTACGTTTTGTTTTTCAGTTGGCAAGTCTATATACTTTTAGACTCAAAAAACCTTTTGTTACACACATTTTTGGCCACAGTTTGGGCTCCAATCTTTCCTTACGCTTTGAGAGTAGAAATGTTATAACATTAGACTTTGAATGATTTATTGCTTCCAACCTCGTCAACAGATAACCATTTCCTTACGGCTTACAACACAATGTAATATTATTTACCCAAAACAAAATTATAAATGTAATATTCATTTTTTTGGAATTTTGAAAATACAAAAAGAACACTTATAACAATTACATTTATCTCTCCTCTAGGTAGGGTTTATTTCCCTTACCTCCCTTGTATTTTAAATAATTGTAGTTACTCCCTTCTAGTTAGATGTGTATGACAAATCTACTTCTGTCTTCAGTTTTATTAACAGTGAGAGATGATCAACATCGATATGACAGTTTTTTAGCATCATATGATAAATATGTCTTTTAATTAGATTGTTGAAAAGGCACTTTTCTCTAATACTTGTGTGAAAATATAAGTATTGAACAAAAGTGTCACAGAAATTTGTCTTATGAAACAAAAAAACTTGACGTATCAGAGTTGACTAACTCTTTACCTTTTGTGAAATTGACAATATCGGTCAATTTGTTACACATATGTAACTAGAAGGGAAGTGATTGTAATTATAAAAAATACTGGAGAGGTGAGAGAAATAAACCCTAACTAGAAGGGAAACAAATGTAAATTACCCTTATACAAAATGATAAGCCTCCTTATATGCAGTTTTCACCACATAAGCATTTTTACCTTTGCCCCAAAACTATTTTTGTTAAAAAAATAATTTCTTTTGTGCTACTTTCTTTGTTAATTATTCATAAATTCCATGTTTTGCAATATATAATTACATGAGTGTTTATGAAGAGAGTCATATGATAAAATGTTATATCCGAAATTCATATATATATTTATGCATGTAATTAGAGTGATAACATAAAACAATAGTTAGTTGTACATACTTCTTTAGGTTAAATCCATCTTAGTTAGTTGTACATACTTCTTTAGGTAAAATCCATCCTTATTCCCTTTCCCCCCTTCAAAAAATTGGGCTAAACTTTTCTGCACATGTAGGCGTTGGAACAACTACTAGTGTCTTGATCGCTATTGGCTTATGGTCGTACCAGAAACATGAGAAGAGGCAAAAGAAGAAAATGAAACAAACGTTATTTAAGAGGAATGGAGGTTTGTTGTTGAAACAACAAATCTCTTTGAATAACGAAAGTGTTGTGCAAACAAAAGTCTTCAAGGCAGAAGAGTTGGAGAAGGCAACAGACAATTTTAATGAAAATCGAGTCTTAGGCAAAGGAGGATTTGGAACAGTTTATAAAGGGATGTTATTAGATGGAAGCATAGTGGTTGTTAAGAAGTCTAACATAGTTGATGAAAATCAAATTGGTCAGTTCATCAATGAAGTTATTATCCTTTCTCAAATAATTCAAAGGAATATAATAAAATTGTTAGGTTGCTGCTTAGAGACTGAAGTTCCACTACCAGTATATGAATACGTCTCGAATGGCACCTTGTCTGACCAACTTCAATTTCAGGGTTATACTCCGACAATGTCCTGGAATACTCGATTGAGAATTGTAGGAGAAATTACGGAATCACTTGGCTATATGCACTTATATGCTTCTAAATCTATCTTTCACAGGGACATCAAGTCCAACAACATATTGCTCGACGAAAATTACAGAGCAGTAGTGTCTGATTTTGGACTTTCAAGTTCAATACCCCTAAACAAGACTCATTTGACAACATTGGTGGGAGGCACATTGTTAGAGTTGCACTACACAATCAACTGGATTTGATACCAGTTGTTGTGGCGGAAACGCAAAATAAATAACACTGTTCAAGGAATAAACAAGCAATCACGAAGAATAAAAAAAATCACACACAAGAACACAAAATATACATGGTTCACCCAAATCTTAGGGCTACGTCCATGGAGCACACTGAACAAAGTCACTATGAAAAAGATGAAGAATTACAAGGAGAATTCTCTCTCGATCTCTCTCAATTGCTCTATCTTGTATTGGCACACCTTTATCTCTAACTTTCACCCCTATTTATAGAATCCCAAACTTATCCTACAAGAACTTGCCTTTTGTAAAATTCAAAACCATTAAGGAAATTAAATCAGATCAGGAAACTGAATTTTTCTTAAACCAATAAGGAAGTCAAATCAGATTAAGAAACTGAATTTTCCTTAATAGATTAGGAAACTGAATTTTCTCTAAAATTCAATACTCTTAAAGTTTTTATATAATTAAATCTTCCTAAAAATCTTCCACCTAATCAGACTCCACAAAACCACAACAATCTCCCACTTGGAGTCTAGAGCACTTGTAAACCCATTCCATCTTCTTCTCATGCATGTCCCATACATGTCGGTGCTCTTATTTCTGTCTTCAAGCTAGAAGACCAACTGAAGTTGTGCACAACTTCAGTTTCTCCATGGTCACTGTCTTGGTCAACATATCAGCCGGATTCTTGGTGCCAAGTATTTTCTCAAGTGTCAACACCCCATCTTCTAACAAAGATCTGATAAAATGATACCGAAGTCCTAAATGCTTAGTCCTTGAATGAAATGCAGAATTCTTTGTCAGATGTATCGCACTCTGACTATCACTGTGCAAAACATTCTTCTCCTATTCGAATCCCAACTCTGTCAACAAACCTTGTAACCAAATCATCTCCTTGCTGGCCTCTGTCATCGCCGCATACTCTGCCTCTGTAGTAGATAACGCTACAATCCTCTGTATTTGTGAAACCCAACTAATTGCAGTTGTACCCACCATGAACACATACCCAGTAGTACTTCTTCTGTGGTCCACCTCACCAGCAAAGTCTGAATCTACATAACCATGTAGCTTCACTTCACCCCTTCTAAAATATAAACATCTGTCTGTGGTACCCCGTAGATATCTCAATATCCACTTTACTGCTTCCCAGTGTAGCTTGCCCGGATCCTTAATGAACCTGCTTACTGCTCCCACTGCATATGCAATGTCTGGTCTTGTGCACACCATGGCATACATCAAACTTCTAATGGCTGAGGCATATGGAATTTTAGCCATAAAGTTTTTCTCATCTTCTGTCTTCGGACACTGATCTTGAGATAATTAAAAGTGATTAGCTAAGGGAGTACTCACCGCCTTAGCATTATTCATGTTAAACCTCTTCAGAACCCGTTCAACGTACTTAGCCTGAGACAACTGCAAAATACCTTTATGTTTGTCTCTGCTAATCCTCATCCTAAGAATCTGCTTCACTGCACCAAGATCCTTCATCTCGAATTCATTAGACAACTGCTTCTTCAATTTGCTAATTTCTTCAAAATCAGAACCTGCCACTAACATGTCATCAATATAAAGTAAAGGGATAATGAAACTAGACGTAAACCTCTTGAAGTAGCAGCAATGGTCAGTGTTGCACTTGTTGTAGCCGTGTCGCTTCATAAAACCATCAAACTTCTTGTACCACTGCCTCGGGGCTTACTTTAAACTATATAAGCTTTTTTTTTAACTTGCACACTAGTTTCTCTTTCCCTTTGACTGAGAAACCCCTCGGTTGTTGCATGTAAATCTCCTCCTCAAGGTCACCATGGAAGAAAGCAGTTTTGACATCTAACTGCTCAAGGTGCAACCCCTCTTCTGCAACAATGCTAAGAACTGAGCGAATGGTACTCAGTTTCACAATCGGAGAAAAAATATCTGTGTAGTCAATGACTTGCTTTTACTGAAAGCCTTTGACCACCAATCTCGCCTTGTATCTCTTAGAACCATCGTGTTCCTCATTTACCCTGTACACCCATTTGTTATGAAGAGCTTTCTTCCCCATGGACAACTTAGCTAGTTCCCATATTTTGTTGGAGATAAGGGACTTTATCTCATCTTCCATTGCAAGCTTCCACTTGCTAACATCTTCAACCTGGCATGCTTCATTATAGCATTCAGGCTCACCATCATCTGTGAGCAACATATAATCCAAATATTTCCTATTTGGTACATGAGGTCAAGTAGACCTTTTAGGTGCAGGCATAGGAGTTGGAATCTGCGGTGAACTATGTTCTGTGAGTTCTGGCCAAGAACCCTCATCTGTCTGCTCCGCATCAATGCTCTCTGGATCTTCATCCAACTCAATAAACTCAGGCTTACTTTGTGCAGGACTAGTTAACTATGTTACATCTCTATCCTTGTACAACACCTTCTTGTTGAAAATCACATCTCTACTTCTGATGATTTTCTTGTTCTGATTATCTCAGAGTCGATAACCAAACTCATCTCCACTATACCCAACGAAGATACATTTTAGTGACTTGGGGTCGAGCTTTCCCCTAGCATGGTCACTAATATGTGCATATGTAATACAACTAAAAACTTTCAACCATGAAAGATTTACCTCTTTGCCACTCCATACCTCTTCTGGTATTCGATGCTCCAAAGGCACCGATGGTCCACGATTAATTAGGTAGGATGCTATATTGATTGCTTCTGCCTAAAACTGTTTGGGTAGACCCGAATGTATGCGCATGCTTCTGGCTCTTTCTGTCAATGTTCGGTTCATCCGTTCTGCCACCCCATTTTGCTGTGGGGTTCCTTACACAGTCCTTTCTAGTCTGATCCCATTATCAAAACAAAAATTCTTGAACCAAGTGTCTTTATACTCACCACCATTATCTGATCTTAACCTCTTGATCTTCAAACCTGTCTCATTCTCCACCATGGCCTTCCACTTCTTGAAAACATCAAATACCTCAGATTTGTTCTTCAAAAAATAAACCCATACCTTCCTCGTGTGATCATCAATGAAAGTCACAAAGTATGATTTTCCGCCAATGGATGAAATAGTGGTTGCCCCCAAACATCTGTGTGAACTAACTCAAGTTTCTCCTTTCTGAGATCTCTGCCACTCTTCTTGAAACTGACCCTCTTTTGCTTGCTCATCACGCAACTCTCAAAGAAGTCAATATCAATTACCCGTATGCCTGGTAGTTTCCCCTTTGAGTGCATACTCTTGAGCCCCCTTTCACTCATGTGACCTAGTCTTTGGTGCCAAAGGTTGTGATCTTCTTTATTTTCTGCAACTGCTATAGACCCACAAGCACTGGTAGTTGTGTAGAGAATGCCAGATTTCTTACCACATGCAATGGTCATAGCGCATCTGGAAACTTTCCATGAGACTCCATTGAAGGTTGTAACAAAACATTCATCTGACAATTGTCCCACCAAAATTAGATTCTTCCTCAAGTCAAGGATGTGTCTCGCATCCTTTAACTTCCAAGCTGACCCATTCAACTTGATTTGCACTTCACCCTTACTAATGACGCTGCAAGGCTGATCATCACCAAGATACACCTTACCAAGGTTACTCGGTTCATAACTATTAAATAGCTCTTTGTTTGAGGTGCCATAAAACGATGTGCTAGAATCTAAAACCCATGACTCCACCTTGCTCTCCAAAGAGCATATCAATGCATCATCTGATTCTTCTGAGACAAAGTTTGCTTTAGTTTTTCTTTCGGTTCCCTTCTTTAGAAGTTTGTAATCAACACGGTAATGTCCTTTCTTTCCACAATTCCAACACTCAACGTCATTGAGATCTGTGGAATTCTTAAAATTTTGAGACTGTGTCCTTCCATTCCTTGACTTGGATCTACCTCTATTTCTATTATTGTTGCCCTTCTTCTTGTTTGAACCCTTGCCTCTGCTTTCAACATTCAACACCGAACCACTGGTGGAAACCCCTGCTGTTTGCCTTATGATTTCTTCAGTCAGAATCATGCTCACAACTTCATCAAACTTCAACTTGGTCTTCCCTGCAGAGCTACTGATCGCTGTAACTATGTCACTCCAACTCTCGAGTAACTGCCCAAGAATTAGCAGTGCTCAGACCTTGTCTTTGAAGTCAATATCAACAGACTCTAATTGCCGAACTATCTCGTTGAACACATTTAGATGTTCGTTGAACTTATTACCTTCGACCATCTTCATGTTGAACATCTTCTCGATCAAGTGCACCTTGTTCACTGCAGAAGGCTATTCATACATACTAGAAAGGGCTGTCAAGAGAGACTTCGTCGTCTTCTCGTTCTTAATATTGAAGGCAACTGACTTTGACAACGTCAATCTGACGGTGCCAAGAGCCTTCCTATCAAGTAATTCCCATTCTGCATCCTTTGTATCCTCTGGCTTCTCTCCCAAAGGTTGATATAGATTTTTTTGAAACAAGAGGTCTTCAATTTGCATCTTCCAAAAACTGAAGTTTGTGCCATGGAACTTCTCAATCATGGATGTGGATGTCTTATCTCTGATGCCATTACTCTCACTCGAACTGACAGATCTGATCGAAAAACTTTCAAAATTTCGTCAAACAACTTCTATGCCCTAGGTTCTCAACCAAAGGCTCTGATACCAGTTGTTAGAGTTGCACTACACAATCAACCGGATTTGATACCAGTTATTATGGCGGAAACGCAAAATAAATAACACTGTTCAAGGAATAAACAAGCAATCACGAAGAATAAAAAAAAATCACACACAAGATATACATGGTTCACCCAAATCTTAGGGCTACGTCCATGGAACATACCGAACAAAATTACTATGAAAAAGATGAAGAATTACAAGGAGAATTCTGTCTCAATTGCTCTCTCTTGTATTGGCACACCTTTATCTGTAACTTTCACCCCTATTTATAGAGTCCCAAACTTGTCCTACAAGAACTTGCCTTTTGTAAAATCCAAAACCAATAAGGAAATTAAATCAGATCAGGAAACTGGATTTTCCTTAAACCAATAAGGAAGTCAAATTAGATTAGGAAACTGAATTTTCCTTAACAGATTAGGAAACTGAATTTTTCCTAAAATTCAGTACTCTTGAAGTTTCCATATAATTAAATCTTCCAAAAAATCTTCCACCTAATCAGACTCCACAAAACCACAACACACATTTGGTTACTTGGATCCTGAGTACTTTCAATTAGGACAACTCACTAATAAAAGTGATGTTTATGCCTTTGGGGTTGTTCTTGCTGAATTGTTAACTGGGAAAGAAGTTCTCTCCTTTGATAGATTTGATGAATGCCTTGTACTTAATTTTTGATCATCAACGAAACAAAATTGTTGGTTTGAAATTTTGGAGCCAATAATTATCAATGATGCTAAGGAAGAGGAGATTCAAGTTGTTGCTACTCTTGCAAAAAGATGCCTAAAACTGAATGCAAGGAAAAGGCCAAATATGAAAGAAATAGTTGCAGAACTGGACCAATTAAGAAAGATACAAGAGCCTCCTTTACTTAAGCAAAATAGCCCAAACAGCTATGCTTGGTAAGTGAAAGGTCCTGCTTTTACACAAGTGAAGAACTTGAAGAAAAATGTTTAATGATATGTCATGTTTAAGGTTTCTCTTCTCCTCTCATTTTTTTTTTTTTTTTTCTCTTTCATTTCCAAAATAACAATATCGATTTAAAGATATGTAAGATAAATTTTCAATTTCAATTTAAGTAGCTACCATATTTGGGTAAATGTGAAGGTTGTATGGCTTCAATATTATACTTTTTATTGATTTGCAACTGCAATTTTTGTGGTTTAACACATCTAATTTTCACATGAAATTGTTCCTTTGTTTTTTTTGTTGCCTTTTCATTTTTGTACCATTAAATTTTCCAATCCCTCTTTATTTTTAGAAATACAAATTTATGCCGTGTAGTTGAAGGATCATGTAAAGAAATGAGTTTAGTTTGGGACAAAGTTATCGATCACTTTGCATCACCATCATTATTACCATGGACTAGGATCCTCTATTGTAAATGGGTCCTACTGTACCATGTTGTAGTGCAAATAATGTTGTTTAAGGTATATTTTTTAAAAAGTTAATTAAAAATTAAAATGGAGAAACCAACGGTGTTAATGGTAAATTATTAAAAAAATAAAACTCAAAATATAAAATGTAAAAACATTTCGGCCATATAATTTGTTAGGAAATATCCTATTTATATATCCACTACCCATGCTCTATTAATCTTGGGTGGTGCAATCCGGGAAGAAGATGAAAAAATATTTACGAGACAAATTTCACGACTAGAAGACATCACACACTATAACACCAGATGATAAATAACTAAAATTGAACACAATTAAACCGATTGGATCAATCTCTTCTATTTTAGTTTTATTTTAATAACGTTTTTAAATGTTCTACTTTACTTCTATTTTAAAAAAGTGTTGAGAACAAGATTAGTGCTGTTGAGAGTTGAGAACAAGATTAAAAAAGTGTTAAGGTAACATACAACATTTAAAAATGTTATTCAAATATAACTAAAATATAAGATACAGATTTTTTTTTCCCTCAAACAAGAGAACTTTATTGACATAAAACTAAAATAGAACATTTAAAATTGTTATACTGCAAACCCAATTAAAGTGATTTATAAATTTTTAATCTTATCCTCAACACATTTAATCTTATTTTTAATATGTACCTTTAATCTTTACCTCACCACCTTTTAACGTTATTCTCAAAACCTTTTAATCCTTACCTAAACACTTTTTTTATCTTGTACTCAACACTTTTAATTAATCTTTACCCCAATGCCAGAGGCGAAGGGGTGTTGAGAATAAGATTAAATGGCATTGAGATAAAGATTAAAAGACGTTGAGGTAAAAATTAAATGTGCTGAGAATAAAATTAAAATGTATTTAGGTAAAGATTAGAAGTGTTGCGAACAACATTAAAAGTTGTTGAATAGAGGATTAAAGTTGTTCAGAACAAAATTAAAACGCGTTGATGCAGGGGAAGAGCCAGGAATGTTTTTTTGAAATATGCATTTATAGTATATATTTATGGTATTAATTATGATTTTAGGTAGGAAAATTAAAGAAATAATTGTAACTCTTTCCATTTTTTCTTCTCATATTATACATTAATAAACATGTTTTTAATAGTATGCATTAAAAAGAGGTTGGAAATTCCCCCCCACCACTCCCCTACCCCCAAATTAAACATTCATGGCTCTGCCCCTGCGTCAACGCGTTTTAATTTTGTTCTCAACCACTTTAATCATCTATTCAACAACTTTTAATGTTGTTAATTCGCAACACTTCTAATCTTTACCTAAACACCTTTTAATCTTATTCTCAATATATTTTTATCTTATTCTCAACACATTTAATTTTTACCTCAATGCCATTTAATCTTGTTCTCAATACTTTTTAATCTTGTTATTCACACCTTTAATCTTTAGCTCAACGCATTTTAATTTTGTTCTCAAAAACTTTAATTTGTTTCCAACATCTTTTGATGTTGTTCTCAACACTTCTAATATTTACCTAAATACATTTTAATCTTGTTCCAACATATTTTAATGTTGTTCTCAACGCCTTTTAATTTTTTATCTCAACGCCATTTAATCTTGTTCTCAACACCTTTTGATCTTGTTATCAACACCTTTAATATTTATCTTAACGCATTTTAATTTTGTTCTCTTCAACACCTTTTGATGTTGTTCTCAACACATCTAATATTTACCTAAATACCTTTTAATCTTGTTCTCAACACATTTAATCTTTACCTCAACGCCTTTTAATCTTTATCTCAATGCCATTTAATCTTATTCTTAACACATTTTAATCTTGTTATCATCAACACCTTTAATCTTTACCTCAAAGCCTTTTAATCTTTACCTCAACATCTTTTAATCTTGTTTTCAATATTATTAATCTTGTTTTCAACACCTTTCTGAAATAAAACTAAAATAAAATATTTAAAAACATTCTTGGAATACAATTAAAATAGAAGATACTAAACCAATCGATTTAATTCTATTCAATATTAGTTATTTATTTATCATATGGAGTTAAAGTGTTTGATGTCTTATATTCTAAAAATTTGTTAATGATTTTGAACTCTTTTAATGGATTTCTTATTGTTACTTGTTGCTCATAAATATCTTTTTCATCTTCTTTTCGGGGATTGCACCACCAAAACCAATATCTAACATGAGCATGGGAAAGGATATATAAAATTATAAACAAATGTATCCCAACAAATTATAAGGCCAGTATGTGAATGTTTTTAACGTTTTATATTTTTATTTTGATTTTTTTAATAATTCACCATTAAGGTAGTTAGTTGCTCCGTTTCACTCTTAAATTGCTTTTTTTTTTTTTAAAAAAAAAAAAAAAATTACCTTAAACGATATTATTTGCATTACAGTATGGGTACAGCAGGACCTGTTTACAGTAGAGAATCCTAATCCAATGAGATGATCTTATAAGACTTGATCAATAAATGAAGAGTAATGGGTAATGTTATGGTGATGCTTATGCAACTTTCTAAAATTGCAGCTTCATATCAATTCAGTAACCTACTTTATTTTCCATTTAAAGACTGACTAGTATTATTAATGTCAAAAAGGCCTTGAGCCATTATTTATTTCTACTGTGGGTTAACTACAACTTTGTTAATGAAGTCATTATTTAGTCCTGCAATCAATCATTTATAAATGATAGTCCAACATTAATAACCCATGGATCTAGAAAATTAAATATGATAAAAGTTGTACTAAAATTACAAGCAAGACATTCATTTATAGAGAGGAATTTTTTTTTTATATAATATAAGGTACAACAAACCGGCCCACACATGTTATCTAAAAAAATCAATGTTCTTAAAAATTTGTTTCAATACAAGAAATTTAACTTGACAACTTCTTTTCTTCTTCATCATTTTTGGTTTTATATCATTAATCTTTTTTTTTTTTTTTTAATCATAAATCATTCCCTCTAATGAATTTAATTTTTTTTTTTAAATCATTTCTCATCACTTCATTCTATGTAAGTTTTATGAATTTTTTTCTTTCACCCTTTATGTAAAACAATCTTCCTCTACAAGTTAAGTTAACTTATTGAGAAATTAACTAAAACTCATAGGATGACTTTCTAAGTCTTTTTAGGTATTTTGTCTACGGTGTCTACCTTAATTGGTAGGTGTTTTCATGTAAACCTATGTGGGGCACGATTATATTGTGTTATTATTATTATTTTCACCCTTCATGTGTCTCTTACATTTTAAGCTGAGTTCATCCACGTAAGTACATAGACCCACTCACTAACACATTCTTACACATGACAACACAAAGGTAGTTTTTTTATTTTCTTTAAATTATTTTTCATTACTTCATTCCATGTCAGTTTTGATCGAATTCTTTGTCTTTTACACTCTATGTAAAACAATTTTTCTCTACAAGTTAAGAAGTTTAACTTAACTTGTGGAGAAATTAATTAAAAATTAATTATGGAAGAACTTTACAAGTGATTTGTTAATTATGGAAGAACTTTCTAAGTGATTTGTTAGGTGTTTTCTCTACCATGTCTACCTTGATTACTAGGTGTTTTCATGTATTAGTATTATTTTTATTATTATGTTCATCCTTCGTGTATGTCTCTTATAAGTATTTAGTTTCAGTTCAACCACATACATACCCTCACACTCACACACAAAATTGAGAGGGTTTTTAAGTAATTTGATTAATGCTTACACATGACAACAAAAAGGTTTTCATTCACACAAATAGTTATCCCACAATCCACGTCCACGCATGCACAAACTTTATTATAAATAAATGTTGTCAAACACCTTAAAAAGAAGTTTGGTATCACCCCGGACCACTACCTTGCTATTCTCAATTTACCTTTCTTCCCATTGAACTAAAAGTCACATCTTTAAAAGGTTATTCCAAAAAAATACACTTAAAATGGACTAGGGAGTACAAAATATCTTACAACAAAAAATTGCCACCAAGTCCTACTTTTTTTATTTTTTTTATTTATTATTATTATTATTAGAAATCAAATAAGCTCTAAATTTTATTTTTTGGAAGGTAATTATTATTGTTTTTAAATTTAAATAGATCATATTTATATACAGCATAAACACACAAAACAAACTATTTCTATGCATTTGGAACTACAAATTTAACAAGCCACGCATTTGTACTCACTGCAGGGCCGGTCCTGAGATTCCAAATATTTTGAGAGGCCCTAGGTAAACTTTCAAATGTGAGGCCCTTAAGTTTCACACGCGAAAAAAAAAATTATAAGAGAGCGAAATTTTCACACGATGTTTTCAAATTCTATAGCTAATTTAATTGTGCGTATGTGTATTGTGCATAAGACAACTAACTAATAACTATAATCTTCACTTATTAAATCTTCATGTTCATTGACTAACTTCCTATGATCTTCATTCATTAAATCTTCATGTTTATTTGCTTTCGCATTCATATGTTCTTCATTCACCAAATCTTCAACTAAACTCTCTATTTGTGTATTGCTCCTAAAATACTTAAAATTATCTCCTTTTTGGGATTGAATCAATTCTTCTTCTCTCTGTTTTTTCAAAGGATATACAAGTCAAAAAGGCCAGAGCTTTTCTTTCCTTCTAATTTTTATAGGGTATGAAACTCATAATGACTAACATTTACGCCTCTTTGCGTGCGATATCTTAAGCAACTGATAGAATGAGTTGGGGTTGCTGGGAAACATAAGTGCTCTAGGAATTCTTTGTTTGTTATAAACTACTTTTTTTAATGACAGACTTGAATGATTTGCAAATTTTGAGAGTTGAGATATTGTGAGTTTTGTCAAATTAATTGAGTCTCAGTTTTGGATGTGCAATTTGCTCGAGTTGGTTGCTGGGTGCTTCTTACCTCTGTCCATTGCCGCTCCATGATTGCATACTTATCTGGCAGAAATCGAGTCTGGAAGTCATGCTTGTGACACGTGACCAACTCTTTTAAGTAATGTTGTGGTTTATTCTTATGTTGCTAAAGTATTGCCGTTAGATTACACACTTGCGATCAACATAAATACCACTACCATTTTGTCAGTGACCTTGGGCACAAATTTTGTTCATGGACTTCCTTTTTTACCGCCTATATCTCAGATTGTACTGATTTAGTGCACACATTGATATAAAAAATTATTGTAAAGTAAAGAAATAGAAGAACTTTTCAAAATAAATGAAGTAAAAAGGTATTAAGCAGTGAAATAATGTTTTATGAGCTGGATCTCAATTATTCTACAGGTCCTTAGAATGAGTCAGCTTTCCACAGATATCTGATACCTTAGGTCCTTAACTATTTTCCAAAAGCTAATAGTGTTTGAGCTGCAAGGCTTCCAAATAACAATCTTCCCTTATCAGTATTGTGAATTTTAGATTCATAGATCTGTTTCTATATCCTAAGGATCTCAACTGATTCTGGTTTTGTAAAATGGGAGTACTAGTAAATGTGTGACCTATGTAATTGTGGATTCATGGTTGAATAATTAGATTTCAGAGGTTCCTTTATCGAGCTTTGGCACAATGGTAAGGTTGCTTCATTGTGATTTTAAGGTCGTGGGTCAAAGCTTGAAACAGCCTCTTCGTACATGAATGTAAGGTTGTGCAATTACTGAAAAAGAAAAAATAAATAAATAAATAAATGTAAGGTTGTGTATATCTCACCCTCTCTAAATCTCGCAATGACGGGATAAGCTCAGTCCATAAACAGACCTTATAAATAGTCAAGCCTGTTTTCGGACCTTAATGCCTATTGTTATATGTAACATATGCCCTCCACCTACCTCCACGAGCAAGCCTTGGTTCTGGGGCATTCAATGCACCTGCTCTCTCTACAAGAATCAAGCCAGAACTACCCGATTACTTTGTTATTTTGGTTGGTGAGATCGCTCCAACTTCGGCAAACACGCGTACCAATACTAAGTAAGTAGGAAGATTAATATTAATTATCATAGAAGGAATGTAAGCTTTCAGAGGTTCTTCATCTCAACTTCTTGTTACATCCAACATATATGATCAGGGACAAAGCCAAGATTTCATTTCCGGGGAGGCACAGTGTACTTGATAAAAAAAATCACCTAGTATTTACAATTACATAACCTACAAATCAATACATAAATCAGACTTCGATTCATTTTAGGACATATAATAAAAGCCTTGCATCAAAGTGATCTATATGCATAAAAACCTTGAGTGGGTAATTGTTACTAGCAACTTGAGTGTAGTCAGTTTGAAAAATCAAATGGGGACTTAATAAATTTAAATCCGCAGTTCAACTACATCTAAGATAGTGTGACCAATGTAACTCAAAGAAAAAGTATGTTCACACACAAGCCCACATGTGACTTACCTTGTTGCGGTTCCTGCAGCACCAGCTTCAGTAGGTAATCAATGGGATAAAGCCACATACTTCAAAGGTAACAATGATTCAGCAAGATTGGAATCCATATGGATTCCACCCACTGGAATCTCTGCAGTGCCAATAAGGCATTGGTTTGCCCTCAATAAAATGAACCTGCCAGAGTATGCCAAAAAAATATCAACCAATCTTCCCTTTTTGCTAATAAAAGTATCAATCAATTGCAGTCAACTCATACTATACTCAGCTCTATACAGGTCCCTCCAAAGGGAAAAAAATAAATAAATAAAGAGATTTTTACAAAGGGAAAATTTTTGGGTTTTTGATTTTAAGAAGCAGAGAAGAAAGAGAAATAGGAGGAAGAGAAGATGTACCTTTGTTGCCGGCCGCCGATGAGAAGCCTCTGAAATGGTCGCCGTGGTCTTTTGGCCAAAGGTTGGTTCAACATGTTCTAACTTCATGATTCTTGGCTTTTGAACCTTCTTTAAATTTCCTCCTACTTCTAATTTCAAAACACGACTTAAAAAAAAAAAAAAAAGAAAACGAAAAACAACATCATGACTAAAGTCAAGCCCATCAAGAGATTTTATTATATTTTTTAAATAAGTAAACTATATTAAGAAAAACCATCTATCTCAAAAAAAATTCTTGAATGAATGATATGTATAAAAACAGAATTATTAGTGCCTTATCCTTGAAGATCAATCGCCCTTGTGTTGATTCTTGGGGCCAAACACTTTTAATTACCTTGAATTTACTGTGAGCCAGGGGAATAAATTAAAATAAATAATTCATCTTCTCATCCCTAATTCATTTAATCCCGCATATAAACACCCATTATATACATTAATAATCAACTAGTATGATTTACTAGACACCTCAATCCGTCTTATGAATTAATCAATACATATTATTCAATATAAAATATTCACAATCCAATTGGCATACAAAAATCCCAACAAATTAACACCATCCCTTGTAATTAGCTAAGTAATTCATAACATTTATTTCTATACAACTTGGCTTGAGTCTTGGTCATCGCTGTGCTTCACATCTTTGTTGTGCAAGAAATAGAGAGTAGTAATCCTGCAAATCACAGCAATCAACGACAGCCACAAAAAAAACAAAAAAGCTGTGAAAAAACATTCGCCAAGGAGAAAAGATTAGAAGTTGGATTGCTCTACTCAGTTTGTCATATGTCACATCGTTAGGAAAATCTTCAGGCCCTGGTTCATGGATGAACTAGTCTAGAGGTCATCTTTTGGCATGCAACCTGTGTAATATTTAAGTTATTACATTATACTTGTTCCATGAAGTGAGGCAATGTTTCTTCTTATAGTGTATATATCTTAGAGTTGAATAAAGTTTTTGCAGGCATGGACAAAGCTTCAAAAGGTTGGCACTGAAATGGTTGCTCTTGCTAAGAGCCTCTCGGACAAGTCAAGGACTTCTTTCCATGATCAGGTGAAGTTGAATTTACTTGCAAATGCTCGAGTCCCTTGTTAACTGATCTCTCGTGTAAATTGAAGATTGCTAATGTATGGGGGGACAATGTTCCATTGTTGTCCTTTTTTGACGGAATCTTACTACAACAATTTTAAAAGGAAAATCAAAATGTTTCGATGTGGTTAAATTGATAACTATTGAGCCTACTGTTTGAGTAGTGACATTTATCGGATAATCTATAATGAGAAATTGTAGTATTGATTTGAAAATTGACATTATGATTACATTTAACTTTCTTATGGAAACCTAAAATTACAGTTTACACCGTTCAAATCACCAACTGAATTGAACATCTGGAGAGATCAAATTGAAATGACTTCGGCTATGCTTGATTTGCCAAATTAGAGTGATTGGGTGGCAGGTCCTTGAATATATGTGACCATGGCATGCCAATATATTAGTACTCACACCTTGGATTATTTGGGCAATCCATTGTAGTTATGATGGTGGTGTTCTTTTTCTAAATAAAAAATAAAAAAATAAAATAAATGGTGAAGTAATATTTGTCTTGCAGCAACATATTACTTTCCATTAGCTTCTTATTTTCCTGAAAAATGTAAATGAAAGGGCCTATCCCCTCCTCCTATGCATCTTTTTGGAAGTACCTTGGACCATTTATTCCTTGCTCCCTTTTATAATTTATACTACACCCCGGCTTTGCCATTGTGTGAAGTTTGGATTTGGTCATGGTTTACTATGCGCTTTGGAATTCTTTTCTGGACCATATCCTTTTGTTTGTCCATGCAGGTCGGAAATTTGGTGCACAGCAGTTTTGAAGACAATGAAGTTGAGGTAAAAGCATGGTTATCAAAATCGCGATTCTACGATTCAAAATCCAAAATCGATTCAAATCGTAACAAAATCATTCAATTGGTATAATCGAGTGTAGAATTGGTAGAATCGGGGATAGAATCGTAGAATCGTACGATTCTATACGATTCGATCGATTCTACAAATTTCATAATACACTGTCAAAGACTAACCCAAATTTGTCAAAGACTAAGCCCAATTTCATAATACACACCAAAGAATGTTATTCAATCATGAATCCTAAAGATTTCATCACTCCGACTATACAATAGGTGAAGAGAAGATGGGAATTCACTGGACAGTCACAGAAATCAGATTAAAATCACATAAATAGGCAAAACATGGTACCTTCGTCCTTGCTCGCTCGTTGGTAGAACTGTTCGCTGGCCTTCGTCGCTGATCGCCAGCCGCTACTCGCCGGTCGCTGCTTCATCGGTCGCTGGTCTTCGTCGTTCACTGATCACTCCCCTCTGGTTGCCACTCGTGTCGCTGATCCCCTCTTCTTCGTCGCTGCTCCCCTCTTCTTTATCGCTGAGGCCATAATTGGAAGTGACAACTGACGCCCTAAAGGGAAAGCTCTAGTGTAGTGTTCGTGATCTCAGTAAGAAAAGGGTATTCCGCCTCTCAGGGTTGCCGTCCATAGTTTTCCAAATAAAAAAGAAATCAATGGGCCTTTAGTGGATTGGGTGTAAGAAATTAATGGGCCTTTAGCTGATTGTGTTTAAGGTTTTTTATTTATTATTTATTTATATATTTTTTGCTCCCCTAATGATCAAATGTTCCATAATAGAAATGTGAATGAGGTTTTTTATTTTTTATTTATCTATATAATATTTTTTTAAGTGTAATTTTAATTGTGCACAATTTGGGGGAGGGTAAAAATTTTTGGGGGAAGTCATTTTACTTATTTACAGGGCAAAAAATATCTCTTAAATGTCAAATTTTATTCTTTAATAGGCTATGGTAAGGTTAGATATATTTGATTGTGTGTGTTGGCCTTATATTTATTATATTTTATAGATTTTATTATTTAAAAAGTTAGTTTTAATTATTTTTTTATAATTTGGTAGAATCTTACGATTCACAATCTGATTCTACGATTTCGATTCTACGGAGATCAAAACGATTCTGCGTAGAATCCCGATTTTAACAACCTTGGGTAAAAGAGCTTCTGCACATTACTTTAATTGGTTTACTCTTTTCTTTCTAAATATTACCTTGATGGGTTTCCTTTTCTAAAAGGTATAACATGGCCTAGGTTTTACTTTTAGAGATGTTTATTTAGTCCTGAAAAACAATATTCTGAATTTTCACTGTAAAACAGTTCCTTGCGCAAGAACCTAACTTGCACAGTTCGGAGCAAACAGAGGTTTGTGGTGTGTACAAAGTCTGCGCTTGCAGGCGTTGCGGGGAAAAGGCAGATGGAGGAGATTGTTTAGTTTGTGATTCATGTGTGGAAATGTACCATGTAGACATGCTTCTAACTGCAGCCAAAACTCTAAATTTCGAGGAGAAAATGGCTTCTTCAATCATATGAAGGTTGTTCAATCCATGGTTTTGAATCATTTTGGAGGACTAATACTTTTGTGCAAGTTGTATTTTAGGCTTAGCTGACTTTTTCGGATGCCTAAATGAGGGAGCACAGAGGTCTGCATAGTGTATTTTGATGCTGGTTAGCTTTGTAAAAGTATGAAGTTTGTTGGCCGAAGTAAATAGACTGGAGTCATGATGTAAGTGAAAGTCTCCTAGCATAAAATTCTTTTATGGGGGATATTAGAAGCTAACATTCATTTTGTTGTGTAAAAGGAAATGACTGTCTAGGCAACCAACCCTCTTGATCATCGAAGTGGGGGAAATTTTTTGTTATATACATTGATGTCCTATCAAACTCTGGATATCAACATCATTAGATGCTGCTTATTTCTTTTCACTACTATCATTTTCATATTATTCTTATTATTATTATTATTATTTTTGTTTCCCGAGCTACATGACCTAAGTCTATTTGAAGGTCATTGGAAAGCCAGATGGTCACGGTGGTTTTGATTGAGCAACAATTTTTTTTTCTTATTTTTCCTGAATGTATCAACATTGTTGACATCGTTCATTGATAATGACCATAAACAGGTGTTGCACAAAACATAGTATGTGGCAATGTGGTTTCGTGAACGTGTTTGTTTCAAAGGAAAAACAAATCACGCGAAAAGGAATAGTATGTCAAATTCATTTTCTCGCACATTTCCATACATTGCTCGTGAATTTGCATTCCAAGTCATCTGGTAATGAAGTTCATTATTACATGACAATCAGACAAACTTGCTAGTAGAAAGTTTGTCTTACAACTTCCAATATAATTCAAATAAGTAGACATCACTTGGAAATATGTATCAAGGTCTGAAACTATGAATAATTTTTTTGGCAGAACTAAATTCATTGAGATTTGTTATAGTCTAAAGAAGTTAAGAAACAAAACATTGCTATTATACAAGATTTGAATATCAATCACTTCCTATAGTGATGTCATGAAAGTTTAAAAATTGTATATTTTTTTTTAGCTTCTTTGTTAACCCCTTTAATATCATGAATTGATGAACTAAGTAATGGCATGAAAGAGAATTGTTGTTCCAGTCTTTTATGATACAATACTATTTCGACAGAATGGGTTCAGAATGAATCCATTATAAGAATGGGTTCAGAATGAATTCTTTCGATTATATATTCTGGAAATTTAAAAAAAAAAAAATTGACAAAAGAATTGTAGAATTTTATAATGGATTGTGGATGTCATCAGTGGTTTCTCCTGGTGGGAGTGGCCTGGGCCTGGAAATGACAAAGGTCCAACGTGGGCTTGGATACGATCCCATGTTTTCGACTTCACTATCTGACCCAATATTTTACATGTCTGGACCTTTTTGAAGCGGACAATCACATAAATGTTTATTTATTTATATATACACACACAAAATAGGTATATGTATATGCATGTGTATATTCACTGTGTGTGTATATGCGTGTGAGTGTCGGTTAATTTTCAAACGCTGGAATGAGACGCCCTTCTCTGTGTAATTCGTAGTGAAATAGTTCTGGGCTTTCATCCCATTCCTTCAAACGAGTACATCTCTCCTTGTGTGTGTGTGTGTGTGTGTGTGTGTGTGTGTGTGTGTGTGCCGTTACATTTTTTTGTGTGCTTGCTTTATATTGATATATATACACATATTGTATATGAGTTTTTATCTTAAAACTGATGCTGATTTTTTACCCATAAAACTAGAATATGCATTGAATTCAAGATATATACTTGTGAATGGTGGTCAAATTATGGTAGATTCACATGTACCCTTATGAAAACAGAAGCCAAATGTGTTTGGAAAATAATTCATACATTGCAAATGTAAAATTAACATGTGTGTGTGTATATATATATATCAAGAAACCCTTTGTTGATTGCAACATTGGTTTTGAGTTTAAGAAGCAAATTGCAATGCTGAAGAAAATTACTAATTTTCAATTTATACAAGTTTTATTAGTTTCAGATTTCAGTGTTGTGTGTGTGTATGTGTAAACATTTATTTATTTTCATTGAAAAATAAGTTATAGGAGTACTAGTTCCGTGCTATGTTATTTTCCTATTATATAGCATGCACATTGGCAGAGGATGATAGTTTATTTTTATTTTCATTGTAGGTGTGAGAATTAAAGAGAACAAAAATCATCCTCTCTGCGAAATCTTCAAGCAGTTGTTTGGCACTGCTTAAATTAGTCACCCAATTCGACTTGATGGGAAACATAATCGGCTCATTCTTTTCGGGACTTGCTCATGTCATTGGGAAATTATTTGGTTCTCCACTGGATTTTCTTGCTGGAAAGTCTTGCAGGTAAGCGTAATTTTTCGATCATTATCATAGGGTTTAACCCAAATGCGTGTGAATACCGAGTTCATTTTAGTAAAATTTAGTTCATGGTTTTGTTCTTCTGAAATTTGTACAACTTAATGTTGTTTGTCAAGCACAACTTAGATATGAATATGTGCCCCAATTTCAGGGTGTATGGGATGACCATGCCTTACATTGTCATCTTGAGTGCATTTTATTGAAACTTTTTTATAAGCATTGCATTCAGTGTGTGAAATCTGTGAATATACACATGCACAAACACTCACACTGTGTGTTCTGAAACCTTTTCAATTTACATGGTTGTTCAGTTCAGTATGTGGATTGACATGGGATTTCATATGCTATATCGACAATTTCTGCATTGCCAACCTGCTCAAGTTGGCCAGTTGGCCGCGGTATCAGCTCTATTCTACTTTGGTGAGTTCCATTTTATTTCATAGGTTACACTTTTGCAATGGTTCACTCTCTCTGCAAAAGCCCTAATTTTACTCCCAACATAACATGGATTAATTAAGACCATATTTTGTTCTCTCCACAAAATCATCATTACTAATAAATCATAACCCTATATTTTCCATTGAAAGAGTCAAGAATTGTGATTTTGCTATCACTAACACCATCACACTTTGGCATAAATGTAAAATAAATGTGTTGAAATAGATTTAAGTGCGTTGAAAAACGCTACAGCACCAATGCTCTACATGAAGGATAGAAGATCATAATGAAAAATGCTTTACAAGTAAAAGTTGTTAGTAATGTATGTTTGAATTAGAATGGCACTTATATCCATTTTCAACACATTCATTTTGCATTTGAACCATTGAAACTATGTTGAAAATGGATTTAACTGTGTTAAAAAACGCTACAGTAGAGTATCCAGACTCCCTGTATTTCAACACTATTTCAACATAGTTTCAACAGTTCAAATGTAAAATAAATGTGTTGAAAATGGATTTAAATACATTGAAAAACGTTGTACCACCAATGTTCTGCATGAACTCAGCTTGGTAATGAAGTTCATTATTTACATGATTTTTTCCTTGCATATTGAAATCACTCACCATGTACCAATTAAGTTCATAGTATTTTCACGTTTCACACTATATTGAAAAATTATTGTATGGTTAAAGATTATACTGAAAAATTATTATGTGGTTGAAGATTATATAACCCGTCCAATTACAACATGAGTTTGAATAACACATCTACGAATTGTGATCAGTCCAAACCATATAACCCCTTACTTAAGTATGACATGAGTTTGAACCACTATATCTGCATACCTCAATCTGCCATAGTAATTGCAATCTCAATCAACAATTTTGATTAGATTATATTAAGCCATTTATATGAATACCCTTCTTCAGCAAAATTCTAAATATAATCTTCAACTAAAAATTAAAATAAAAAATAATTGAGAAATCTCCACAAAACCAGTTTAATGGTAAGAAAAGAAAGGGAAGTCACAGTGTAAGCGCTAAACAATAATGTCCATGTACTTAGTAAAAAGCATATAAGAAAAGTAATCAACTAGTTCATGAACATTTCAGTTAATTTCGTTTGAAATTCTTTGTAACTTTGAGGAACAAAATACGAACATTCACGGATTTGGGAGCTACCTTCATCTATAAATCCATGAGAGACAATTAAAGAGACTGGTTGGTGAGAAGCAAAATGGAAATAACTTGGATAGAGAAAAGAAACTACAAAAAACTTGCAGGTGTTATATATATATATATATATGTCTTCCCTTTCAGCTATGCTAATTACCAAGTCATTGGAGTAAACAAATTAATTTCATAGCAAGTTTGCGGAAGAGAGTAGTGTACGAACTTTTTCCTTTCATATTGAAATTACTAACCATGTACCAATTAGATTCCTAACATTTTCACATTTCACACTATATTGAGAAATTATTATATGATCGAAGATTATATAAAATTATTATATAAACAAAAATGTACCAATCAACACATAAACAAAAATGACCAAATATTCAAAAGGGTTGTATTCTATTGAGGCCCACTTGGATAACGTGGAAGGTTTGAACATGAGATGATCTTGATCAATGAATGGGGAGTTATGGGTAATATTATGGTGATGCTTATGTAACTGATAGACCAACATTAATAATCCATGGATCAAATTAAATCTGCTAAAAGTTGTACTAAAATTACAAGATATTCATTTATATATATATGTATGACGCCTCCACCAATGCTCAAACACTCAACCTGACCACATAATAAATTCACGTTAGATTTAATTTTTTTTTATCACTTCTCTCCATGTTAATTTTGGTCGATTTTTTTGCCTTTTACACTCTATGCAAAATAATTTTTACCAACGGACCAGTGATCTAGCGGTATTATACCCCTACTTCGCAAAGGTAAGGTTTGGGTTCAAGTCTCGGTGAATGTATGTGTATGTAAGTACCAATTAAGAAAAGAAAAAAAAAAAAAAAACCTTCCTCTCCAAGTTAAGAAGTTTAATTTAACTTGTCGGGAAATTAACCGGAAATCATAAGGTATGTGTGTGTAAGTACCAACTAATAATTTCTCTACCATGTCTACCTTAATTACTAAGTGTTTTCATGTATGCCTATGTGGGGAACGATCCTGTAGTATTATTATTATTATTATTTTCGTTCTTCATGTACATACCCCGACACCCTAATACATAAAATTAATAGGGCTTTTAAGTAATTTGACCAATGTTTACACATGAGAACCCAAAGGTAGTTTCATTCCCACAAATCGTTAGCCCACACTCCACATCCACGCGTACATGAAACTCTATAAATAATACTCCAAATCTTTTCATGCATTTGTGAAAAAACAAGAGCCATATTTCTTTTCATTTCTACAACACAAGAGGCATTTAGAGAGAGAGAGAGAGAGAGAGAGAAAGGCAGATAGGATGGTGAACAAAGGCGAGGGAGGGGCTAAAGGGCAAGGGCCGTTGTCCATGTATGCTAAGAATGAGAGCCTTAATCCCGCCAAGAAGAAGAAGGTGATCACAATGTCTGTTCAAAAAGTGGTGAAAACTTTTGCTCCATCTTGCAACAAGGACAAAAACAAGCACAAGATCAACCCTGGTGATGATGCTGAGAGTGCTTAATCCTATATAAGTACTCTATACTATACGCTATGTTCGGTAATATGGAATTAGTATTTTAAAATTGGAATTGATAAAAAAATAAAATAAAATAAAATAAAAAAATTAGTTCAAACTTTGCTAAGAATCAATTCCATTCTACCGAACATAGATATGTAATTGTCTTGTATTTGCGTCGGTGTATGTGTGTGTTGTCATATTTTCTTTGGTTGATACAGCGTTCGAGTGTTGTCTTATTTTTTCTTTTATTGGACACTGTTCTAAGTGCACGTTGTCTTGCTTACGATTTCTTTAATTGATGAATAAAGTCGTTATATGTTTATATTAATTAGATCATCCTGGTTGATTTATTTTGAACTGTTGGAATTCGTACAGTCTTGTATGAGTTATTCGATTTACCGATTCTATTATAACAGAAGCATTAAAGTATTTCTTGCCGGGATCATCATGTGGTACTGACCAATGTAAGTAAATGTATCACCTTAATTTATTCAACTTTTCGATTGCATCAATTAGTAATGGCGGATCAATGGTCATGTAATAATTTTTAGGGACCCAAAAACAAATAAAATAAAAACCATATTGGTAAGGACAGTGTAAACGCTAAACAATAATGTACATGTTTGTGGTAAGAAGCAAGCAATGTTTATTTAACCCCAAAAAAAAAAAAAAAAAAGAAAGTTAAATCAACTAGTTGATGAACATTTCGGTTAATTTTGTCTGAAATTCTTCCCAACTTTTGATGAGCTGAATATGAACTTTCACGCTTACGAGAGCTATCTTAATTTGTAAATCCATGCGAGACATTTAAAGAGACTGGTTGGTGAGAAGCAAAATAGAAATAACTTGGATATAGAACATAAACTACAAAAACTTGCAGGTGATACATATTGTCTTTCCCTTTCAGCCATGCTAATTACCAAGATTAGTAATCCATGGAGCAAATTAAATATGCTACAAGTTGTACTAAAATTACAAGACATTCATTGCAGAGAAATAATACGTGTATATATATGTGTGTGTGTGTGTGTATTATGCCTCCACTGATGCTCAAACTCCCCACACAACAAAATCATGCTAGATTTAATTTTTTAAAAATAATTTTTTATCACTTCATCCCATGCTAATTTTAGTCGATTTATTTGTCTTTTACACTTTATGCAATACAATCTTCCTCTCCAAGTTAAGAAGATTAACTTGTCGGAAAATTAACTAGAAATCATGGGAGGACTTTCTAAGTCATTTGTTAGGTGTTTTCTCCACCATGTCTACATTAGTTACTAGGTATTTTCATGTTTGCCTATGTGGGGAACGATTATATCGTATTATTATTATTATTATTATCCTTCATGTACACACCCTAACACCCTAACATAGAAAATTAAGAGGGCTTTTAAGTAATTTGACAAATGTTTACACATGAGAACACAAAGGTAGTTTCATTCCCATACAGGGGAATGGCTTAGGGAATATGCGGGCTACTATGGATAAGGAATTTAATGCATGACTTAGGTTTCGAACCGGTGAGTCCAATTAAGTTATATTGTGATAATAAGGCAGTGTTTGACATTGCACATAATCCAGTCCAACATGATCGGACTAAACATTTTGAGGTGGATAGGCATGTTATAATGGAGAAATTGGAAGCAAAGCTTATAGAGGTTTTTCACGTGCAGTTTGAAGATCAACTTGCGGATATACTCACCAATTAAGGTGGTTTCAAGTCAAGCATTTGACAGCTCTCTTTTCAAGTTGGGCACACCAACTTGAGGAGTGTTAAAATAGCTATAAATAAAGCTAATTAATTAGAGTTGACTTTCGTTATAAATCTTTACTGTAATTGATAAGTTTCCTATAATTAGCGTAATTGATTCTATTAGGTTACTTGTTCTCCATACTCGTAAATCAATATATATATCTATATATATATATATACCTTTATTTGGAGAGAATAAGATCATCAAAATATTAAACCTTGAAATTATTTCACAAAGCATACACTCTTCCTAATTTAGTACTCATTCACACGATCTTTATAAATAATTAAGTTTTGTTGAATGACAATATTATTGAATTTTTGATTTTAACACAGAGGAACTTGAGCTAGATCATTATTTGTTCTCAAACAATACAAATATTTAAACAAATTTTTATCAACAAAAACACTTGCCCTATTTTTTTATTTTTTATTTTTTAATTTCTCCCATGATCGTGCCTCTATAGAACAAGTTGAAGAACATACGAATTATAGACCTTTCGACAAATTTAGCCAAAGTTTGGGGTATGGTTTTTATGGATTCTAACCCAATAGGTGAAATAATAATTAAGCATGCATTGTGATGATTTGTTTCACGGGCTAGCTAGGGCACTTTGGCAATGTAGATTTTGGAATGTTTTTGTTTCAAAGAAAAACCTAGCTAGGACAGTTCCCTTTGGGGACATTCAATAAAATTGGAATGATACAGAGAAGATTAACACGGCTCTGCGCAAGGATCACATGAACAAATCGAGAAATGGTCCAAATTTTTTGTTATTTCCTTGCGGCAAAAAAAAAAAAAAAAAAAAAAAAAAAAAAGTTGTACTTACCAAAAAAAAAAACCATGCTAGGACAGAAAAATTTTCTTTGGAATATAGATATAGTTCACTGGGTGGAGGGGAAAATGTACATTTTTGAAGTCATTTCAGATTCTACAAAGAAGGCATTAGTAAAAAAGAGAGAACAAAATTTTCAAAGACGAAAGTGTGAATAATGTAACTGATGGTGGCTTTCCATGCTCACATAGTAAATACCCTCAATTGAGGTGCCCAAAATAGCAGAAGAAAGCTATTTAGCAAAATTACAAAGACTTTTCACGAAAATTGGCATTCATTTCTTCGAATGCACTCACACATTTCCATAAATTTCCCACGAATTTGTATTCTTTCAAGTCATTTGGTAATGAGGTTCATGATAACCCATGTATCTATTAAGTTCGTAGCATTTTCACCTTCCGCACTATGTCACATGACTTACTAACTCATGTATCTATAAGCCATTTTATTCTTTAATTAGATTTAATATTTTTTTTAAATCATTTTTTATCACTCTATGCAAAGCAATCTTCCTCCAAGTTAAAATTATTTAATTTAACTGAAAATCATAGGGGGACTTTCTAAGTCTTTCGATTTTTTTTACTGTCTCTACCTTAGTTATTAGGGAAACAAAAATCTGGATAACACATCTGTTTGTGTATTGAATTATAATCTGCCCTAACCATATAACCTGTTACCAAATATAACATGAGTTTGGAACACTAAATTTGCATGGCTCAATCTGCCATAGTAATAACTATGTCAATCAATAAGTTTGATTAGATTATATTAGCCATTTATTTGAATACCCTTCAGCAAAATTCTAACATTAAGCTTTATCTGGAAATCCGTGAGAAACAAAGAAACTGGTGGGTGAGAAGTAAAATGGAAACAACATAGTACAAATGGTTAACCAAGTTTGGAGAGCCCTGTTTCAACAATTGGATAGTTCAAGGAGGTATTTTTTTTTGGTAGGGTTATTGTGCCGAAAATTGAAATGAGAGACATGTTTAATGTAATTTGCCCAAGAATTTACCACAACCCAACAGATATTTCTACTTTAAATTGCAAAAAATAAATATATAGGAGTATTTCTATAGGAATTTACATGAAAGTACTCTGTATTTCCTTTCTTGTTTTAGAGAAAACCTAGCAATTTCAACTTTCATAACCAAATATTCAAAAAGGTCATATTCTATTGAGGCCCACTTGGATAATGTGGGAAGGTTTGAACATGAGATGATCTTGATCAATAAATGGAGAGTTATGGGTAATATTATGGTGATGCTTATGTGTAACGACCCGAATTCGAGGGTCCGAATCGCTAACCGAGTCCTTACCCGAACCCAAGGTCCACTAAAAATGTTACTGTCCTTTCCTATATCAATACACAATATACGTGTCATCCTGAGGATTTATAATTAATAATAATAATAATAATAAGATGAGATCATAGCTACAAAATATATCAAACAGTCCACTAACCTATCAAAACCTGTGGAGAAATGTCGTCCGCCACTTCCTTCCCGTGACCTGAAAAATGTTAAAATGATGGGGTGAGCTAAACGCTCAGTAGAAAGTGTCTAAGACACACCTCTTATGACCCCGTAAATCTACATAGAGAATAGAAAGCAAGAGAACGGGATCATATATCGGGAGTTAAGTAAAACTACTGTATCATCAACAAACATACATATCTCAACCAATTACCAAATGCACCACATATGCCAATGATGTGCCATGTCACGCAATGCCACTCTCCATTTCCGAAACCATACCGTTACAACTTTCAAACCGTTAGCGTAATCTGACCCAAGAAACCTCCAAGACGTCACGAAAGGGGGATTGGCTAACCATTCACAACCACAAGACACCTCCAAGGCGTCGCATCCGGCCTGGTTAGCTCAACCACACTAAGGTCTCTCCCTAGTCCCCTCTCTAGACTACACTAACACCACGGACCACTAGGCGCTTCTTAGGCGTCCGGGTTTTTACAAACACTTTTCAAAAACTTTTTCCCAAAACAATCTTATTGGTTTTTAAAAAGAAATATATACTTTTTCCCCTTTTCTTTCCCAATGAATGCACAAATACTTCATGATTACAAATGTCAAATTCAACAACTATATTCCATACATTTTACCCATATCATAATCACAGCTTGTAAAAGAATATTTTAAATATTTACTTCTACGATTGTGACATCAAATTTCCATGGCAATTGAAATACATAAAGTAAACAACTTGTCATTTCTAAGCATGCTTCTTCACTACAAGGATATAACTAAATTTACAAACTCTTTTATCATATAGTATACATCCACCATTTTACATATAATCAACCACAATCACATAGTCAAAATAACTGAAATTAAACATGCTTATAGTCAATTTAAGAAGGAAAATTCACATAGAACCTAAGAAATTGTGAATTAGAGCACCCCTACCTCAAAAGTAGCCAAAATACATCCCCGGCCAGAAAAGCCAACGCCGGTCAACGCGGTCAATGTCGGTCAACAAAAGTCAACGCCGGTCAATGGCTTTGGAATAGAAAACTGTTTGGTGGGAACGTAGTCGTTGACAAGGAGATTCTACTGTTCCAAAGGGTCAGCTCCGGAATCCGACTCTAAGTGGCCCAAAACCGTACCCCATCCGAAGCCTTAGATCTACAAATTTCAAAAATTCATAAAATAATCATCGCTCCTCTGAAAAACAAACCCTTTGACTATGTGATAGAGAATGATGAGAGGAACGTTTTCCGTTCAGGAACCAAGATCGGAATCCCTACCGATTGGCCGGCAAGTGAAGAAGAACAATTAAAGGTCAAAGAAAAAAAAACAGAGGGAGAGAGTTGAGCCATGAGAGAGAGAATCTGATGGTTGCATATGGCCTAATGGCCTTTGAGATGATTTAATGAAATGGTGGGGCCCACTGGCTTTTAATATATATTTTTTTTACCATTTATTTTTCACCACAAATATATGTATATATATATATATATATCCTTTAAATCCTAACCACACAAATTAATACACCACTATGAAATTGTGCAAAAATAACAATGCGTGAAAACCCGTGACGCAACTCCAGTACACAACAAATTCGGTAGCGGGTCCCACCCAGAATCTTTCGGTCCGAAAAATGAAAAAATGTAAAAATGATGACATTGGCATTTCAAATAGTCTTGGACGCAATGAAATGTCTCAACCAACTCTCGGACACAACCGACACACTCCGCGGTGTCCGGCACACAAAATGAGACAAAGACAGAAAAATCTCAGAAATAAAAAATGGGAAAATTGAAAATATTACAATCTACCCTCCTTAATAAGATTTTGTCCTCGAAATCTACCATCCTTAAAAGAAGGAGATCCATAACCACACACCTTCCCAAGAAACACCTCACCAACCCGAGACTAAGAACTCAACAACTTTGTTACTTTTGACACCCAATGCCAATAGGCAATCACACTGTCATCAGAATAACCAAATGCTCACCACCCTATTAGGGTATTCATCACTTACAACATCAAAACACCAGACTATCTGCTACGCCCTACGCTATACTCGATTCAAGACGGACATTGGTCCACTCTGCACTGCTACACAAGACTTCGAAGCTTGAAAAAAGAACAGTCATAAGACTCCTGAACATGATAACATCCTATCTTAATTCATTCTTCAAAGGACATACAAGACCCCAAACGAGGAACCCCATCCATCTCACAATCAAGCTCAAACTCAACTTTACACGTCCCTGTTAGACCAAGCATTCGCTATTCACTGCATAGCTAAACCATTGCACTATACGACAATCACCATACTAGACAACTTCAAGAAGATAAAACAACGGATTTCCCAACAACTACATAATCATAAGTCACCAGAACAATAAAACGTACTATCCTATATCTTGGACACACACATCCTCAAAAAAAGATCCTCAATAATCAATTATCATACCACAAACCCTTTATCGGACACTTGATCCTTCCTAACACACCTCATCACCCGAGGCAAATCATCCAAATCCACACTGCCATACTGACACAATGCGCAAAACCGTGCTCTCACTGTCACTAACAGGTCGAAACAATCATTGACCTTTGACCCGACATCGTGCTAAAGAGGAACTGATTCAAGAGAAATGGTTGGCCAGGCCATTCTCATCCTCAATCTGATCTCAGCACAGACGTCGTTCCTGTCCTCAGGTCTAAACCTCAAACACAGTCACACACAGTCCACAAAATAACCATGAGATCCACTCACTATCAATCCATCGCTCTACGCAACCTCAACTACTATAGAGTTATATCCTTGTTCTAAAAATCCCATTCATGCCTTAATCATAACAGGCTAAAAACAACACGGCACCAAATACCATAATCATCATCTAGCCTAAAAGCTTTCCAGTCCGCTCCTAATAACCTGTACTAGAGATGAACTCCATGACATCATTCAATCCAATTCTTACCTCGTCAAAGCACACAATACAACTATCTCATGCTTGAGATTCGGAACCAGAGTTAATCTTTCCTATTATTTCTCAATAGAATCCCATATTCACTTCCTAGCTGCATAACACTTAAACAATACCAACACATGTCCTCGAGACACTGTTCAAATCAAACATCAATAAAAACACCCAAGTACTTGACTCACATCACGTCACTGAACCATCCTCAAACTTACCATTTAAGATACACCTCTAGCCATACCTACAAAACCAGACATCGAAAACACAATCCTTATTCGACAACTTATGCTGCCAAACCACTCTCAAAATAAGCACCACTAAGAACCAATGACTTATCTTCCTCTGTGGGAGTGAGTCGACTAAATCAACCAACCTTTACCGATAAACTCTAATAACATAACAAACCATAAACAGGTCCGTCCACCCACGGACGCACACAACTCCTAAATGGTAAATAAGACTTGCGACAATCGACGTCCT